CCCTCTCTACCTCAAACCTAGCAGCCTGAACAGCCGTGCATTTCCGTAACCGTCCGCCCCCGTTCGTGTATCCAGTTGCGTTTACTGATTTTACGCGACCCCAAAGATCAGCACCTACGGTTGCGTTTCTCGATTTTACGCGTCCCCATAAATCGACAGGATCCGTTAAGCTATCGCCTCTTCTGATAGGTCCCGTCAGAGCTCTCGTTGTTGGTGGAGTTGGGCCTGTTCCATCCCAACTCCCAGTTTATACCGACTCGTCAGTTCCCGGTGAAAAAAGAATTGGCTGGCGCCCGCCTGGCTTGCGGATGCACGAACGACGGGTGGACGGCCGAAGGTAACGTAGGTTGGTTCTCGAAGATAGTCCTTCCCGAATGTTTTGCTATCGGTGTCGGGTCAAGGAAAAGAATTACGTTACAAGTTATATACCAATTTTTAAAGAGACCGTAATCTTGAATGCATATAAGCGTCATTAAGGCTGCTGTCTGGCTGGTTTAGCTATATATATTGCGTGACGTCACAAGCGAGGAAACGTATTTTCCGTTATTATCCTTCATTTCTAAATGATTTAGCAAAATCTTTGATGAGCCCGCTTCGTTATGCGATACGGATGGCGGCTCTTCTCAATTTAGGTGCGAAAAATGTTTCAATTTTTAGAAAAATGTATGTAAAGAAATCGTGCATTTCTGACCTGTCAAAACATCTTGGGCGCCGCCATTACGATCGTTCACTAAATCCCATTTTTCTGCGAATCAGGACACTCATCACACTTAAATTGAGAAGAGCCGCCTTGCTATGGACGATACAAAGCGGGCTGATCTAATAGTTTTTTCAATAATTGTTTGACAAACGCAAAAAACGGCAAATTAGATTCGGCCCGTATTTTACTACCTTGAGAATCCAATAGATGGCGCTAGCTGTTCCTCGCCGTAGATCTCAGTAACGTGAGCGATTTGCGATGCCCGTAGCATAGTACCGTTGTGTCAGAACTACACACACATATAGTATATGTGTGTAGGCAAGTTTGCTGGCGAAGAGCTAAGCCAGCCTAGACGCTTGGCTCGACTCGCTACATTGTATATATATTGTGACGTGGTGGATTTCACCCGTCTTGTCCTCGGCGGAAAATCACGCCGAAACGCGATACGGGCCGAAAGGCCATTGCAAAGTCCAGGCAGGATCCACCGACCGCAAGGGCCTAATCAACATTATTATTTTTTTAATAATTAGCATAGACTGTCGTAAAGACTAATATTGCAAACGTAACGGAATATTAGAATATTTCTTACAAGGAGTCTCCAACAATCGGATTTTTGTAATCTTTTTTAGTCATGGTACGTGAAGTTGAGAATTCGAATAGTAATTTCCCAAAGCAGGTCTATGTCATATTCAAAAATTCTCAAGAAAGTCGACTTTGAAGTTTTGTGAGTCCGTATGTACATCAA